GTAGCCATTCCACGAGAGGACCCCGACCCGGCGAGACTGCTCCACTGTTCTCTTGCTTGGGCCGTCAGCTCCTGTGGCGAGACTCCTTCTTCGAGGTAAGCCCGAGCTCGTATCCTACCGTTGTCGGTGAAGGTATCCTATACGGGCGAATCTTACCCCGGTTATTCAGAAACCGCTGCTTGAGTTGAACTGTACTTGAAACCGCCTTCGATGCAGCGCGTTTCGAACGCGGCTGTGCGTTTGTGCTGCCTTGGCATCGCCTAAAGCCCGAGCGTTGGCAACTCGTTTGTGCTGCATCGAAGTCGATGCCAAGTCGATGCCAAGTCGATGCCAAGTTTCTGAATACGGGGGTTAGATGCGTTTGGTGAGTGAAAATTGACAATTGACGGACGGACGAAAAAAAAATTGTTTAAAAATAGATAAAAATGAAACCCTCCAGGGCTACCGGCCCGGGCTCAGGCCACCCCGACGTTTTGTGCGGTGAGGCCTAGCCTTTCCACCGCTGTCCGGGCCCGCTGGATTGCCCACAGCTGGTGGTGCAGATCTGAGCTGGTCACCGCACATAGACAATGCTCCTCGAGGTCAAGTTTTATATTGTCCTCTCGGTATATTACCTGTGACCTGTGTGCATTGCCATGGAATATGTGCCATATCTGCATGTTCGTGCTTACAGAGGGTACAGCTTGTTTGTTGGTATAGTTGACGATGGCTCACGTGTGCTTGCAGCCGTATACATACAGCTTTTTAGCTCTAACAAATGAGACGAATGAAAGAAAAGTACATGTTTTGTGTCTCTTGGCCAGTGCTGCACAGGTATGTATGAATCCATACCTGTTTCTTGGAAGCGTTCTTGGAATCTCCGTAGCCTGCATGTGTAGCGTCTCGCTAGGCAACGCCAAGACGTAAGCTTCGAGACGAAGAGCATCACGTTCTCCAAACGAACGCAATTAATTAATTTGTCACTCGTGAAAATTATAAACTTATTTTCCGTGCCACATGGTTCCAAAGAATCTCGAAGGGAGCATGCCAAATCCAGAATAATTCATTACCGCACGTTGTTCCTCCGACCATTCCTCAGATGCGACGCGGCAACATTCTTTGAGATGTCGAGCAACAGTCACCTCGTATATAGGCCTTCGGAACGCATGGCTTCGTCACGCATTCGTACACTGCACGCAACTACATATCGCCACACGCGTTTTTTTTTTCACTTTTGTTTGATTTGGTTTTCGCCCACAAAGCCTGCGGGTAAAGAATGCTCAGTGCAAAACGCGCCTCCATCAGTGTTCGAGAAAGTTCTCGATCATTGTGGGTCGTTGTGTGAAGATTACCCTCAAGGCACGAACACTCGAGATTATTCTACAGCTTGCGCGAAGATCAGTGATAAGCCTGGAATATTCGACGACACATGTATAAATGCCGCCGCGTATCGCCGGCCGACGTTCTGTTCGCCGCCATCAGTATCAGTGCCGACTTTATTTTTACGCGGCCACAAGTTCGGCCCAATATACCGTTTAACCTGAGCACCCAGCCTGTTCCTTTTGTCCGCGTCACGTCCCCGCGGCAGTATTCAGACTAAAAGTTATTGCGGGCGCGAGTTTAGGCGCGTATGTTCCCCGCAGTCGTTCAACACATGAGAAATGCACCGTGCGGTGGAGTATTTCAATGTCACTGCAGCGCCAGAAAGCCAAGCTTATAGCGGACGAAAACGGCAACATTGGGACGGCGTCTGTGAAAATGGAATGCGACGCGCGCGTCTCGCTTCCTGCACGAACGGGCAGATTGTGGCCGGCTACAAGGGGGACGCGTGCGCGCGTCCCCCTTGTAGCGCGTTCCCCTTCACGTCTAACTTGTTTTTGCGTGTTCCTTAAGGCCGTTTCACATGACACAAAAAGTAGCGAGCGATTTTTGGTCGGGACCCGTCGAATTAGGGCTGGCCCGGCGAAGCCGTCGAAATAGAGTCGACGTGTTTGTTTTGGTAATGGCCGATGCCGTGCATTTTAAGATGAATTCAGACTGGAAGACGTTCTTAAATGACGAAACAAGCGGGCCCTTCGTTACCGTTCACGGTAACTTCATGATATCATAATGCACATATTATTACGTTACATTCGGGCCTGTCACAATGAGCGGTGGTGAGAACTCGCCGCTCCAGTCGCAGAGCGAAAATCGCGGACCATGTGAAACGAAACGGCCATCAGCGACGGTTGCGAACAGAGCGATTGGAGCGAACGGAACGATTTTTCTCGCTGCAATCGCAGCATGTGAAACAGCCTTTATGGGCAGTGTCAGCGAACTTGAGACGGGACAGGGCCAAGGAGGATTAAAAAAATTGCTGGAGTGGAAATCATAGTCTATGAGTGAAGCCGTGCCCCTGGCAAGATGGCAGCCGTGTTACTAGGGGCATGAGATAGTATCACCGTTCAGCGATTAAGAACGGAGGGTTCTCCCTCGCACGCCGAACGAGTGTAATGCGGAAACTTTTTTCGGGTCACATAGTGCTCCAAGTGCGTCAGTCTTAGTGTTACTAGTTCTCCTTAGGGAGCCTCCGGTTGGAGGCAAAGTACTTGGAAAATTCAGTCACCCATACTCGTTTCTATGTGTTAATCTCCTCGGGAACAACTGTCTTTGATATAGAACTAACGTAGAATTAACACTAACATATCAAAACCACTTGATCTATAAGTGGGCCCTATCAGAAAAGAGCATGTTTCCGCCATCTTGGCATTGGCAAAAGGTGGCTTCACTTCTGCTGGCAAGGCATTGCGGGAGCTTCCACTTCCAGCAATTCTTTTTTAAAATCATCCTTGGTCAGGGCGAGAAACACAGCTCCCTCTGGTCAGTGTACAGTGCTAAATGCGTTCAGTTGCTCGAAAATTCGTTCGATTCACACGTTCGCTGTCGAGAGTGCGCACTGCTCACGAGCCTTCGCGCAGGCAGCCATTTCTAGGAGGCGCCAGGTGGTCTTACACGAAGACACGCGGTTTGGCTAGACTAACGGGATTTCGCAAAGGCAACCGTGGTGCGCTTGTGCGGCTCAGACGACGGTTGGCGCGGCGTTTTCTCGGCTCTTGAAAGCTCCCACCAACTACATTTGTATATAAGTAATCGTATTCGTGACACTGTTGGAGCTTAATATCTGGAGTTCATGCTCTCTCATTTGTCTGCGCGATCTCTGAAACAGTATGTGTTGTTCTCTGGCTGTTTGATAACTGATCGTGCTTTGAATTTGATGGTGGCTTCTACTACGATACCATTGCGAAGTGGTCACTGCTTGTAGTAACACAGGTTTCTGGATACCACCAGCCTTGGATACGTATGCAACGTCTGCCGGTAGGCAAATATTAGAGAGTTTTAGTACTGCGTACGCTGCATACGTGGCGGCGTTGCGTACGTAAGGACGCCACGTTCTGCGTAGTGCGCATGCGCAGACCGCAACGCGCACGTATCGCATTACGTACGCAGCCGCTACGCACGCACGCATGAGATGCGTGCGGGCGTACGTATGAGGTGATCGCGCCGCTCTCGAACAAGTTCGCGCCAGCGCGAGACTTCGTTTTGCAAATTGGCGGCATCGAAGGCAAGCACCGACCGGCTCTGTGGCTTAAGATATGGCCATAATCTGGCTATAACACTTGGATTGGCTCACATTGGCTGTCAACAACACGTGCTTCTATTTTGATCTACCAGCTGGCGCAACACGCTTCACGCTCGTTACGTACGCAGGTACTGCGGCGTACTAAAAGCTGATTAGTGGCAAACGACGCCACGTAACGCAAGGCGCTTGCGTGATGGGAGCACCGTTCCGCAGTACTAAAACTCTCTATTGATTTCTTATTTATATCGTCCACTCGGCTGTCGAAATCCGCGTCGTAAACTTGTTTTAGACCGTAAACTTGTTTAGAGATAAATTTAGACCGGCGCAACGCAAAGCTTTGCATTCTCGTTGCAGCCTTCACTGTTCACCAATACACTGTGCGTTACGAATCCACTCGTTCTATAGCGTCTCGTGTTTTCCGAGAGCACCGACAAAGTAGCTCCACCGTGGTGACGTATAGGCGTTAGGAGAGAATAAGATAGCTATAGTCGTAACGGTATTGATTTGGCCCAATTTCATTACCCTCTTACCTTCACTTCTTTGCTTATGCCCTTTTTTTTTGTGGATGACATGAGCCGGAGGAGAATGTTGACGTCATTACCAATGGTGGTGTTACCGAATGCCTCGGAGAGGACTAAAGAATCTCCCTTCACTCAACCCTTCTTCTTCACTTGAGAAAGCCGATGGGGGCGCCATTTCCAGGCACGGCCAGTCACTGCATATGAGCGATTGTCTGCTGCGATTCTTGAGTAGCCCAGCGTCATTTTCAGCCGAGCGATGGCACAGTGCTCAACTCTGTCACGTGAACGGTGAAACTCGAATGTGGGAGCGTTTGTGAATACGGGAGTAAGTATTGTTTTCTGGGATTTGCAGCACGCCCGCCGCTCGTAGCGCTGCCACGTTTGACATCGTTGATAGTGACGTCATTATGAACTGGACGCGCGCGTTTACTTGAATTTTTAATTGATTGATATGTCGGGCTTAACGTCCCAAAACCGCCACATTATTGAGAGACGCCGTTAGTGGAGGGCTCCAGAAATTTCGACCTTCTAAGGTTCTTCAACGTGCACCCAAATCTGAGCACACGGGCCTACAGCATTTCCGCCTCCATAGAAGGTGCAGCCGCTGGGATTCGATCCAGCGACCAGCGGGTCAGCAGCCGAGTACCTTAGCCACTAGTCCATGGTGGCGGGGTACTTGACTTGGTAAAGAAAGTATAGGCGGGTTTAGGAGTCTTAATATATCGCGTAACCATATCCCTTCGTTGTTTTTTTTTTATTCATCCTTGCTTCAAAATGAGCGAAGAGGTCCGCCATAGCCTCCTTATACAGTGTCCCATTCTTCAACGCAGGAAACTGCGGAACACGGGAACTGCAGGAAACTGCAGAAGGAAACTGCGACCATGAACCCGATGCGCTCGCTGCCCCAGGCGGTGACCGCCGACGCGCAGTGTTCGGGGATCACCCGCCAGACGGTGTTCGTGTTCCGGGAAGAGGACTTCGACCCGAACTGCGTCCGCCTGGTAACGCGCGGTCGGGACCCGGCCACCGCGGTCGCTTGTCTGCTTGGATTCTTCAAGCTCGTCTGCGAGGACGGGTACGAGCAGGTAAGATTACTGCCTTGTAACGTAACTAGTCTTATGATTATAGCCTTAAAATCTCACCGGAGCTACAACAACTACGAAAATCGGTATTCGCTGCAGCTGTGTAAACTGAAGGACTGCAACTTCAGTAGCATGGGTGATATAAATATTCACCTATTGTTCACTAGAAATTTACGCTGCGCGTGTTCGAGAGCTATGCTTTTTTTGTAATTATTAGTCTCCGTCCGCTTTGATCAAATTCTCACGGCGAACGCGTGTTTCCTTTAGCGGGACTGTTGCGAACCGCACCTCATGATCCCGGAGGCCTTTTTTCTGGTCTTACTGGTTCCGCCGCGCCTATATATCATGATCTCAGAGGCCTTTGTCATGGTCATACTGGTTCTTTCGACGCCTGTATATCAGAGCACAGCCGAAACAGCGTAGGGCAGCACAGCAAAATGCGAAAAGTAGATTCGTCTAGCTAGTTGTCTTTCAGACAAGCCCACTTCTCATGACGTTGTCCCTAGCGACAACCCATTTAATCCCTGAATGTCTGCGGCGAGATTAAGAGCAAAACTGCGACGTTTACATGGGTGTATAGTCCTCTCCACTTGCACGTCGCATCCACGACATGTAGGTGGTCCGCGCCAGCGACGTCGACGGCGTCTGGCTGGACGAGGTGCACGTGAACGGCGAGTTCGTGCACCGCCAGCTGCGCGCCCTGTGCGCCGACTCGGAGCCCGCGGCCTCCATGGACGACTTGTACGTGCTCCTGAGTGTGCTGCTGTGCAACCTGCCGCGCGCCCGCGGCTCCAACCTGAACCACGACTGGTTCCAGAACCGGATCAACGACCTGGTCGAGCTCTTCCCGGGAGTCTCCGAGCCTCCGCCCGTGCCGCTGTACGGCGAGGAGCAGGCGGACGCTGTCTCCAAATTCGGCGAGCAGTGGCCACACACCAGGGCGACCCTCTGCCACGCCATGCTCAGGAGCCAATTCGAGGTACGTCGTTCGAGGTACTTCGAAAGGTACTATACAAGGCTCTAGCATAATGTACCAGAAGTAACGACGGAACCGTACCGCATGTGTTGCGTGTGCACCGAGAAGCAACTGCACACCAAGGCCACATTATTCCACGTATTAATAAGTCACCATATGTGGTGCGAGCGTGTTCTACTTTCGATATTTGCAGCCTGTAGCGTGGCGAAATTGTGGTGTCAGCGCGTACATGACCAAACAAGTCGGGAAGTTTCAATTAAGGAGTGTGCTAGATTGTACTGCATGTACCCTGTGCGCTCCGACGTGTGGCTGCACACGAAAGCGGTGCTGTGCCACGCACTACTAAGGGGCCACTTCGAAGTGCGTGTTCTGCTTTAAAATGTAATGGTCTGTAGTGACATCGGTCTGTAATGGTCTGTAGTGACGCGGGTCGCTTATGACATCTCTCCTACTCGAAGGCGTATTGAACGGTACGTGTACCATGTGTGCCCCGTGTTGGCTGTACAAAGAGAGTTAGCATTATTCGGGCATAACTTATGACCGGTGTTCTGCTTGAATGGGGACTACAGGCTGCAGCTTCTTCGTGCCAGCGGTGTGTATACTGACCGTCCTTTATAACAAACATTCGTGCAGGGCCCCATGCAGCAGGTGCAGGCAGTACGTGTCTGTGGGCTGGCGCTTCGCTGGCATGAAGCACGTCCACCTAATCCTGGAGTTCCTCAGGGGCCGCAACTCTTGGGTCCTCGACGTCGTCCCAGAGGTGCGCGCCAGGGGCGAACACCTCCAGGTGCGCTGAAAAGCTGTCGTATTAAACGGGAAACGTAATGGTGTCGTGCGGTACGTGTGCGACCAGATGTCCATGCTTGTCGCGATGAATGCCGCATTGGCTGAACTTGTCGAGCAGGTTGCCCCTCGATCGGACGCCAGTCGGTCCGTCTATACACAGCGTTTGCGATTCGCGTAACGATATTAATGAGAATTAACAGACAATGATGTTAAGGAAAGTACAGGGATGGCTGTGAGCAGTTAACGCAATGTGAATGTGAACAAAGAAAAGTGGACTAAAAGATAACCTCACCCTGGGCGGGACCAAATCTGCGACCTGCGTATAACGCGTCTGATGCTCGGACGCGTTATGCACGATGACCTATATGTGAAACTACCGCATGTGCTAGTTAAAAAGTACTTGCACTCCTTATCCCACATACATCCTTATGGACGGCCGACTCGCGTATCCTTCATGTGATCTCCCGATGTATAGCGTATACCTTATGTAGCAGGCATGACAAGGGGAGGGAGATGAGGGTGCTAAGGCAATTAGACAAAAGCCGCAAGGCTGAAGCGCTATAATATAGCGAGAGTGTTGGATGAAGGTGAAGAGAATGGCTTATTCGAAGTTCCGCTGTTTCGCTGGTCTTGACAACGTTAAATCGACGCATATTCGGCGCTTTGCAATGCATAAGTGCATGCTAGGGTTGGGCGGGGAGGGGGATCATTTTATGAGCACTTGACACACCAACGATACTTCATGAATGGTCTGCGTGAAGACATCCGGACACCTCACCCCCTCCTGGTTCCTCCAGTGAACCTGATGGATATCACTGCCCCATGTGGAGGCGTTCCTGTTAGGCTTTCATGTTAGACCAGTGCTACATCGATTCAGAATAAGCCGCCACACATCAATAGAGATTTTGAGGTGGTGTCCAGATCGGGACACAACAACAACCCCCCCTTCTGAATGCCCTGGAAAATCTGGTTGCCTTTCGTGCCCAGGAGTTTCTGAAGGCGTACCGGCGGTTGGGTGCGGACGGCCCCTACATGAAGCTGCTGCACCTTCCAGAGGCGGCTACCGCCATGCGCAAGCTCTTGGGCGTGCACGTGGCGGCCGCATATGCGCTCGCTGTGCTGGAGGACGAGAACTGGCTCCAGTACAGGGGCGTCCCTCGGGGCGAGGCCGAGGAGGTGGTCTTCGCCAAGATCTCCGCCATCAGGCGAATGGCCCTCCGCGCATCCTCAAGGGAAGGACCGGCTCCTGCCAACCTCGGGGACGGCGACGAGTCGAGGCGCGTCGACGTCGCCGGCGAGCCCACTGCCACAGCGTCGACCATGGCGCCATAGGCATCCACGGTCGGTACGTGATCACCGTTTGGTGCTCATTGCACTTGGACCCTAACCAACGCGCAGACCATCGGATTTTACCATTTTACTGCGCCTTTTGGAGTGTTAGCGGTCTGCCAAGTCTAATAGGTGAAACCACAAGAAACGCTCGGGACCTGTGCGGGTTTCTAGATCACGGATCAACAAATGTTTGGTAATCCTCTGTTTTTTCTAACACGGCCGAAAAATTGGGTCAAAGGCGTGGCACAGACTTGTGTCACCTACTCTGTGCAAGTGCGTAGTTTGCTCACCGTATGAGGACTTGCCCGTTATTTATTATGAAGTCGGCACAATTGAGGAACCAGTATACGTTCCGGAGCGTCCCTTGTGCATTTTTACCCTCATGTAGTGAATGACCACAGCTTAATGATGTTTACTAACCACGACAGCTGAAGTATCGTCGAACTTTTACCTAAATTTCTGGTATGACTGGGAAGGCGATCCGTTTACTTGCCGTCTTCGAGTATTGCTGCCATTATCAATGTTACTTTTTTTAACTGATGATAAGCACGCCATTCTGGCAAACCCTGTGGTGACAAGCGAATGAATCGCTCGCAAGTTCTGTTGATAGATAGCTCCTTTATAGCTTGGTATTGTCAAATTTCACCCAGTTGTGTGAATTACGTAATGACATTTTTTTTTCGGGCGAGCCGGAGAGGTGGTTCGGTTCCTCAACTCCATTCGGAATGTACCAGAAGTCAAATAACATTGGCAATACCCAGAATCAAACACATGCCCCCGCGGTAATGGTCTAGTGGCTAAAGCACTTAGCTGCTGACCCGCAGGTCGCGGAATCGAATCCCGGCTGTGGCGGCTGCATTCTCTGCTATTCAGGCGAAACTGCCGTAGGCCCGTGTGCTCAGATGCGGGAACACGTTCAAAGAACCCCAGGTGGTGGAAATTTCCAGAGCCCTCCACTACGGCGTCTCTCAAAATCATATGGCGGTCTTGGGACGTACAATCGCACATAATAATAACGATAATAATAATAATAATAATAATAATAATAATAATAATAATAATAATAATAATAATAATAATAATAATAATAATAATAATAATAATTATTATTATTATTATTATTATTATTATTATTATTATTATTATTATTATTATATTATTATTATTATTATTATCGGATACAACATCGGAAGTGAAGCGTTCGAACAGTTGAGCATTCTGATCATCGCACTTGAGTATTGCTGCTGGTTCTCCCGACGATGTCTGGTCTGTGGCCTAATCGCACGTTAACCGAGCAGGACTGTTTAAAAAAAGCCCCTTTATCGACCACGAAGCGGTTAGACTGAAGGAAAGCGGATATTGATTGATTTGTGGGGTTTAACGTCCCAAAACCACTATTTGATTATGAGAGACGCCGTAGTGGAGGGCTCTGGAAATTTCGACCACCTGGGGTTCTTTAACGTGCACCCAAATCTGAGCACACGGGCCTACAACATTTCCGCCTCCATCGGAAATGCAGCCGCCACAGCCGGGCTTTGATATCGCGACCTCCGGGTCAGAAGCCGAGTACCTTAGCCACTAGACCACCGTGGCGGGGCAACGAAAGCGTATATTCTTACCTGTCCTGATTCGACGTCTCGTCGTCGGCCATCTGTCGACTGAAAGGGCAGTCGGTGTAGATACCTTGCGACGAAATCTTACACGGTATACTGCACTGCCTGCTGATGCTATAGCTTTGCAATCGACGGGAATGCGATGCTCGCTTAACGTGGTGCCTCGGAACGCTTGGTATAGCGCTAGGGGAATTGGCAGGGTGCATGCACGGCATGACCTGCACGCTTTACGGTCCAAATAAGACGTGAGCATAGCCAAACAAACCGGAAACTTTGCTGCGGTGATTAGATGAGCGATGATAGCACAGCTCGCTGCAGCACGGGCACTGGCTTATAAGACTTGACGGATACAAGCGTTGCAGTGCCATCACGACGGCGCAGTTCAGAACGGTTTCGTTTGCGACGGCTTCCGGTTGTGGCAGGATTTGGCATTGCTCGTTAAGGCGGGCACGAGTCGCGACTGTTCCGCTCGCTGAATCGGCTTTCGGCCGCGTCGCGTGAACTTCGCGTATCGGCGCCTGATTATTCTCTGGTAACCGATAAGCGTCGGAGCAGTTTTGCGGTCGACATTGCGATCTCCCGACATGAGCCGGAGGTGAATGTTGACGTCATTGCCAACGCTGGTGTTACCGAATGGCTCGGAGAGGACTAACCCTCGTATTCACAATCGCTCCTCGACTCGACTTCCACCCTTCACTTGAGAGAGTTGAGCACTGCGCCACTGCTCGGCTGAAAATGACACTGGGCTAGTTAACACCGCCGCATATTACCGCTGACAGGCAGTGGCTTGCCCTGCCTAGAGATGACCCTGCCATCGGTTTTTTTTTCAAGTGAAGGCTGAAGCGTTGAGTGAAGGAACGTTTTGTATACGGGGGTAAGTTTTTCTGGGATTTGCAGCACACCCTGCTGCTCGTAGCGCTGCCACGTTTGGTATCGTTCATAGTGACGTCATTATGACCTCGATGCGCGAGTTTACTTAACGTTTTAATTGATTGATATGTAGGGTTCAACGTCCCAAAACCACCACATGGTTATGAGAGACGCCGTAGTGGAGGGCTCCGGAAATTTTGACCACCTGGGGTTCTTTAACGTGCACCCAAATCTGAGCACATGGCCCTACAGCGTTTCCGCCTCCATCGAAAATGCAGCCGCCGCAGCCGGGATTTGATCCCGTGACCTGCGGGTCAGTAGCCGAATACCTTAGCCACAAGACCACCGCGGCGGGGCAAATCACCCAATCAGCCATATTGAGAAGTCATACACACTTCCACTAAAGTGTTGTGTTTCCATGGGTGCTTGCGCTTCCTAAACTGTCTACTTGTTCATTAGCCGGCAGTCAGGTTTTGGTTGACGATGTGGACTAAGCAAACAAACGATCTGCACCATGTCGACACCAAGTCTAGTAACGTATAGTCGATGTTACCTTAAAAATGGGTGCGGAGAATTCATGAGCTATAGCCGTTATACGACCACTACAACTGCATTGTTTTGAAAGAAACGTCGTGGTACCGACGCCGCAATGCCGAACCCGTGAAACGAACGCCGTAGTGCAGCGCCATCGTGAACTGGTTGACAAAGTACAGAACCTTGCAACGCGAACATTTGGCATCTGAGGAGCTGCCTGTATGCGACGCCCGGGAACTAGGAAACTGGTTTGACGGGAGTGCAAAGTGGCCAATAGTGGCAAGGCTGCCTGTGACGGCTCGTACATGCCGAGTATGCCACGTAGCCAATTCCGACGCAAAGAATCACACGGAGGGCGATAGATCAAAACGGGACACGGCACTTCCGATCTACGTGCCACATGATCTGTTACCGACTTGCCATCCGTGTGATTCTTCGTCCTACTATTCTAAATTTCACCCTGCCAACTAGCATAAGTGTTGGCCGGACTTTGTTTTGGGGGAACTCATAGCTGCGTTTCATCATGGGTGGGGGAGTGAGAGAGCGCTGGTACAGCTTTGGCAGAGAAAAGTGCTGGTGTGGCTTGAGGGCGGGGGAGGGGCAGTGCCACTTCCGATTTTTCTGCTGACGTCCATGCCAACTGGCCTATCTGTTTGTTCTTTAGGGGCGAAGTTTTTTATGGTCTAGGTCAGTTCATCCCAGCGGCGTACCTGGCACTGACAGACAGGCAGACTAAGACACAAACGCACAAACGGACGGATGGATGAACGTCTCGCCCCACTCACCATCACTCACTCCGCGATTATGCTGTGAATTTTTTGCACGTCCCTAAGCTTTTCGTATAGTACCAGCTGAGGTTGTCACGGGGAATATGCGTCAGCGAAATCTAACGGCAGTGTCCAGTAAATTAAGGCTTGTGCCCGTTTGTTTGCAGTCGAATTGCATGCACGAATGCTTGTACGCGCATCCACCTTTTGTATCTTCAACCACAGGCGCAGCCAGGGCACGACAGGACCTCGAAGGTACGGGTGCGGGAGGCGCCGGCATCGCGGAGAGGTCCGGGACGCGCCACGTAGCAATGACGGCAACAAGCAACCGCGGGAACTGCTTGAGGGACGACGTCGTCAAACACCGAAGCCCCGGCGCCGTCAGTCACGAGACCTCGTCGTCAACGTGCGTCCGCCCTCGTCGGTCGTCAGTGGCCCTGGTCGGCTGTTTGAAGGTTGGCCTGCCGTCGCGCCACCCAGACGGCGTCGGGCCCTGGTCGCGGTCTTGTGGACAGTGGATGGCGAAGACCATGACCCCGTCAGCGCTCCGGGAGTGTATTTTTTAGACACGGCCGCACGTTGCCTAGAGCGCCGTGGTTGAAGATTAGCGGGTTACGGCACCACCCCGCCCGCCGAGGTCGACAGGGAGGCCTCTGTGCTTTCTATATAGGGACAGTGGCGGGGTGGTGTCATAGATTGGAGAAACAAACAAAATTTTGTTTCCGAATGCGGTGCGTCTGATTTGATGACGAGCTGTACAGGCCAGCTGTACGGTTCGATGGGTTGCTGCTTGGGCGAGTTGGTCAACAATCGTAGCGTGCATTAGCACCGCACGTTTAAAAAATGAAACGTGTGCATGTTGCGTTTTTTTTTTTTCTCATATAAGCATATGTTTTCACAACAATGTGAGCCCCTATAGGTGACGTACGTGCAAGGCTATAGACCAAGTTCCTTACGTTCGTGCGTCTGCTAGCCGGTCGCCGGCTATGTGCTGCACTAACACACGCTACAATTGCTGTTCGAGAATACAGCCTAAATTCAGCCGTTTTACAGCAGCGTGTACTTCGTATGCTTCGATGGTATGTAGCCGTTTTATCCAACCGAAAATATTTTCCGCCTGGAAAGTTCCAAAGCTGGAAGTAATGACTAGCGTGTTGCAGGTGGCTGTGGGTAGAGGGCGCGCGCGGCAAGCTTGTGCTATAGCTTGCGCTTAGCATGTGCGCCACAAGAGAACGCTCGCTCCATACAGTCAACCTGTGATGCCTGCCTCGAGCTTGTGATGTAGCATTGCAACATGTGCGGGCAGTCTTCGAGCAGAGTTGAGCTTCATACAAGATTCGTGCAGGTTCTTTGTTCCCACTGAGAGAGAGAAAATAAGCAGAAAGGCGGGGAGGTCAACCAGGGCTGAGCCCCGGTAGGCTACCCTGCATGAGAAGTGCTAGAATACCATTCGGTGGTATACTCGTGCCTGCGCCCACTGGGCTAGGCCTTAAGTTTTCTCGGAGCTTGCACAAAGTATAACCTACGTTCGAATTTTGAAATGTTCATCCACTTGTGGGCATACACTTGAAATTAAAAAATCGGACGAACTCGTGAGGGCACGCTTTAGCTATGTAGACAAGGTGGGGGAGTGGGATGTTGGCAATAGTAAAGCTCTTGACACTTCTGCACTGACGGGGGCAGCTCGCACACATCCTGGGAGAGGGTGAAGGTGGTAGCACATTTTGGCTGCATTGAAGTAACTACAACCACAAGCTTGGGAATGACTCTTTTGTCCTGGTGCTGAACCATGATGCAGCCCTAAAGGAACCGACAACCAATTTTTATGGTGCCACTTTTTTTTTAGCCCTACGAAAAGCTTATCACCGACTAATCGCGCAGTGGCAAAGTGGCAGAACGCTGCGAAACGTTTGGAATCAAAATTTTTCCACCAAAAGCGATTATGGAGTCTTATACTCGCCCGACGATAATTATAGCGCAAGAACAAAACGACGACACAGAGACAAGGAAGACACGAAGGACGCTGTCTCTGTGTCGTCGTTCCGTTCTCGCGCTATCTGTCGTCATGTCATACCAACTGGCCCAAGCTGCCACACTTCTTATACTCGCATGCCACAAACAGTGAGCGAGAGAGAGAGAGAGAGTGGTTCGTGTTTGAGCGTGGCGATTAACCGCGCATGCGTGCATTCGGCGCACATGCGCTGTGACTTGTGGCTTGACTTGGTCCACTGCCGGCCACGACAGCAGCGCCGCTTCTCAACGTGCAACTCCTCTTGCGTTGTAGGCAGCACAGAATTGAACTGGGCTAGATATAGTAATATACATACTCTAGTTTTGGAATATTCGCGCGCATGACAGCATCGGGCTATGCGACAACATACAAGAAAGCGATTGACTCCATGTTTCTTAATCCAGCTTCAGTGTCTTCCGCTAGGCCGTGCCACACGACGGTTTTGCTTCTTTTAGGCACGATTTAAAATTATAAATCCTACTTACAATGTCAAAATATTCCAGATTATGAGGCTTTATGTCATGGTCTTTTCATTTCTGCTGGGATCTAATCGCACCACCTGGCCAGTTGCGGGCCACTTCAAAGGGACGCTAAGGCGAAGCAATATTTCGCGTATTGATAAAAAACATTTTCACAATTCCGAAAACGCCACTCTTATTGCGACACAACACTTGGTAAGCGAAAAAAAAAAGCACGTGAAAAGAAATTGCGGGTGAAGACGCCACCTTAAGCATACGATTGAATAACTCTGACCATGAGGTTTCCGCACCAAATAGGGTGACGTCATCAATTTTCGAACGCGTCTACTAGGCTCAAGTTTCTAATGGATAAATTGAAGTACATTGTAACCTCTGGGTGCCGTAGACCTAGCATACAAAGTCTCAGAAAATTTCATCAAGCCAATGTCGGGAAAATAGAAAAAAAAATACATTTTGGAATTTCTTATGTCACGTCCGGAGATCATGGCACAAAATTGAAAAATGAGACTTCAGCCTTGATTTTCTCCACTAATAAGGAACTTATGACAGTGAAACTTATGCTGTTCAAGTTCCCAGAGTGCAGTTCATCAATCTGAGATAGCTTGTTTTTCTTTTGGTGTCTAGGTGTACCCTTCTGCAGGTAATGCACAAAATAAAATCCTGTTTATTGCCACAAAACTATTCCTAATTCCTCGCTTAATCTCTTTCTATTCCATTGATGAGTTACTTCTTGAAGAATGCACACTAATTAAGCATGCGCATCTGCAATGGTAAACTTTGTTTGTGCCACTAAACTGGAACTGGACAAACAATATAGATTTATTTGCTGGCTATGTGGCCCCAAAAAGATACGTCAGGTTAACTGCCATCCTATGAAAGACCATCAATTGTCAAGCTGAACTTTGCGAGACACTGATTTCCGACAAATACAAACAAGTTTGAAGCCACGAAGCAATGAAGTCACAGAACACGCTGGTAAGTGGAACAAAAAACGCTTTAATAAAAGTTGCAAATCTGTTTTTTTTTTTTCAAATAAATTACTTTGTACAATAGGCTTGAAAAAATCTCATCTACAGCTGTACAAACACGACACACATGCGAACAGACTTAAAATGGACACAACATGCATGGCGACATGGCATGATTGTTAGTGTTGTTGATAAAAGAAAGACAAACTATCTGGAATGACAGTGGGCATGCAGTCAAATTGTGACAGATGTTGCGGAGGCGAAAGATGCAACACATCTCTATATCTGTCAAAGCTAATGTAAAGAGTCAGAATGACACACAGTGCACAAGAACTTCTTTTTTTTTGTTTTTGCATGTGACTCGAGCAACAATGTGCAAGCACAGTCGGCGCTAAAAGGGCCTGGAACACTGCAGACACCTGCCTGGCAGTGTTGCATGCAATTTACGCTCCTTTACTTGAACCACCACAGGTATAGTTCCTAAATCGTGTTTGAGTAACAATTCTAAGATTTTTCCAATCCAACCCTTCAAGTAATGTCACCAAGGGGAGGAAATAACAAATAAAATAACCGACTGGAATTATACATTCAAACCTCGATATAACGATCCAGGATATAAAAAATTATAGGTTATAACAAAGTACATATAGAATAGCTCTGTCAAAGATACAGTGCTGCAAGTATATGTTTATAACGAATTTTCGGATATAACGAAGCATTCTTGCGGCAGGTGCGACTTTGTTATAATAAAGTTTGAGTGTATTTCTAGAACACTACAGGAAAGTAGCATTGGTGTTAGGTTACAAGGTGTTGCCTTAAAATGGTAAGGAGTGAAAAAAAAGTATGTTGTGGGAAACAGAATTAACAACTGCCTTACTAACTGTGGTGCGTTGTAAATTGTGAAGGCATAATCAACCTAAACTGGAGCTGCTGGCCTATTGTTGGCAGTCCATTAGCGTAAGCTAGGCTGCATGTTCCAGGCAACTGTAGCACCGACCGTACACAAATGATGTGTTCGGGTGATTTCAACCAGTGCTGCTAGAAAGTGCAGGTTCACGTCCGTGCACACACAGACCCCACCAAAGCTGCGGTGTCTCCAGACTTTATCCAGAACAAAGGAATGACACGACTTTGCAAAGAACAGCCGCGGCGGTGTTATGTAGAAAACGGTGCATCGACGGAACGTCGAGGAATGTGCGCTCAAAGAAACGGACCGTGCGGTGCTTTTTTTATGTACACAAGTGAACACGCGCATTCTCTCCTACGCACTGAGCCGAAGGCCAGTGTCGAGTAAGTGAAGAATCCATGACGCGTGCATTTTTTTTAATTCCTGCCGAAACTTGTGAAAACTTGGCCTCCCTACACAAGAAAGGTCTTGGAGGGGTGGGCCATTGCTAGAAGAAAAGCAGCGCGAAAACATGAGGCTCACGTTTTTTTTGCACCAACATCAATGGAATGGTTGTAAGGATAATAAATGTTTACAAATATCTGCAATCAGCTGTGGCTAGTTGTAAATCAGAATGGTTAGTTGTAAGAACTATAGGCATTTTCACAGAGGGGGGAAGGAGTGACAGACGCCACCCTCTCTATGAGCCCAGTGTGCCACCCTTTGGCTACACCAATACCAAGCTAGTGCCCTAATAGGGGGGGGGGGGACAAAATATGTCCCCTTATGACTTAATAGGGCGGGTGTGGGACGATGAACCTTTAATCCACCTGAAGGGGAACTCTGTGCTCCCATATGGTTAGCATTCAGCATGTGAAAATTGGAAGTACAGTGCCAAATGTTTGAAAAACATCCCTAATAAGTTGTTTTTTTTTTGAAGCATGAGGTTGGGATACTCAATTACAAGCAGAACCTTCAGTGACTTGATGTAGGGAGACACGATTGCGAGAATTTTAGCACACTAGCTTGGAAACCTGCGAACTGCAAAGCAAGTGCTGCTTGTGCTGGCTTTGTAGATGCCCAAAATCAAGCTGCGACATAGGGACCATAAGTCCTTGATGTGCGAGTTGCCAGTTGCAGCAACTGTTGTTGCAGTGATGTTTGACACCGCTTCATCACGCGCTGGCTGTTGCTTGTAGCGTGGCAGTGCAAAGCCACACTGAGAGAAAACTGAGGTAAGTCACATTGCGGGGCGTGAGCAAGGCATATTCGAATCCAGAAAATGAACAGAAAAAATGTCAACATGATCAACAACTTTTCAGTGATGTGCAGAAGTTGGTGTGGCTTGTCTCATGGTTGTGCGCTATTGATATTTGTTAGAATGGCAATGTAAACTTGTTCGCGTTACCAAACGAGTTTGGGGCTGTGACATTGCAGCACTATTATGTAAGATGATAAGTTCACACCCGATTATAACGTCGTGTACAACTGTTTACGTCGAAAAGAACAGTGAAATCAATTTAAATCTGCAATCGAAACACTTGCATCTATACACCCGCAGAGAGCATTCCAAAATAGCACTTGGAGGAAAAAATAGCGTAGCACCAAAATTATAAATAAATAAAGTATACACAAGACTCCACTTCTAAAACACTTTTTTTTCCTGCTTCTATAAACTACAGTCTGGAATATAAGCGACATTGAGGTCATAAAAGGTCTATAGATACATCTGGGCACGCAGTCTAAATAAATATATTCTCACCATCTGACATCTAGCACAGCTCAAGGAAATATAGGCTATCTTCTTTTGTGAGCTTACGAAGAAAAATATACCATGCTGTACATGAAAGCCACGCAAAGCAATTTGAAACACAGTCTTCCAGTCTGGCAAGACAGGAAGTCCAAAACACACACATAGAGAGGTGTAGGCCAGTCCAGAATTGTGGGCAGGATGTCAAGAGGGTTCGTCAAAGTTCACAAAGTTTTTGCTTGCAGTGATTTGCTCTTTTACAAGTGAATATTGAGGACTAACCAATCAATCCGATGAAGTAGTCCTGTTCTTTCAAGGTTGTTCGACATTTAGACACTCTCAGCAACTGTTCATATTGTTTTGTTCTATTTGCAGAACTGAAACACTGCAGTCACACACACACACACACTTCGGAGTATCGTAAAACAAAAGTCCCCACTGCTTTCTCGTTAGTTGCCTGTCCATAAAGAAGGTCTCCATCAAATCCCTGAGGAGGTGCAACACGCACTTGTACGATGATTACCTTTTTTTTTGCTTCAAATATTTTTTGTGGCAGGATATCGGCTGCATTGATCAGACGCGTGGCAGTATATTGTTTTCGCTTGGCAGTGGGCTCGCACTTAGAACTCCCAGGCTCGTATGATTCGGTTCGCTAGTGCTCTGAAAACAGTCTGTCACTAGTGCCACTAGCTACTAGTGCGGCAGTGTGTGCAGTTGCATTCAGTGGTGGTGGTGCCATGCTGCCGTGTATACGTGGGTTGGCAGAACCCACTGGAAACTGTAGGCTCGAGGCCTCCGGAAACGTGGGTAGAAACAGTTCATTCGACTCTTTGGTTTGGAGCTTCTCGTTTAAAAAAAAAAGAGAAAAATTCTGCCTCAATGGCATTTTGGAGGAGGCCCGTTCGACATACTCGACGCTTTTGGAAATTGTTTGACGTTGTATCATCGATTATAAACATGTACCTCAAGTTGCACAATGCTTTGATTATAGTTCACAAACCACGATGTGGTCAACGACATGCAACTTTTGTTTCTGTTCAACAGTCTGTGCACAGAAGAACTTCTGGAAGTGGCAGCATGATGCATTTTCCGTTTCTACTTTCTCCTTCGCATGAGTCGCTCGAACATCGTCTGCTGAAAAAACAGTATTTGCTGCGATTCATCAAATTTCTTTGGTTTCGTCTGCGGGTCGCCCACTTGCCTCAAGCAGTGACATCACGTCCTAAAGTCGTCGGTCCAAAAGGCTGACCTGTCATTGACTGACGAACTCGGGCAGGTGACACTGCAGCATTGCACTCATTCTGAATGTTTTCAGCTTTCTCAGGTAAAAGTAGGCTGCCACTTGTCCCAAGGCATCCGTGCTTTCAGCTGTATAACATAGTTTTTTTTCGCTGTATAGCTCCATGCTCACATCGCTTAAGCCCATCGTAGGCTGTTGACGTGATGTGTCACAGTATTGGACGAGCGCACACACACTGCACTACTGTCGGAGTTGTTCCGCACAAGGTGTCTCACAGCTCACGATGCTAAAAAAAACACACAGTCTTCACTCGTCGCTCAGTAGTTGAAGATGTTGAAGAGCACGGCGAAGAGAGTGCAGGCAGCGTACACGCCCAGCGCCACCCACCACAACAAGTGTTCGTGAAGTTTCTGCTCGAAGTTCTTGAGAACCAGTAGGCCAATGGTGAGGCCCGCTAGCGCGCCGGTCAGGTGCGCCACGTACGATACCGGCGGCCCGTGAGGCTCGGCGGCGTACCGGTCGTAGACCGCGAAGCCCACGTCGGCGGATGCTGCAAAGCGGTGCGATACGATCTATTAGTTTACAGCTTACATGGCAATCGTGGCATCCTGACTCGTCAGCTTTAACAAATGCTGTCAAGAAACAAACTTTGTCACTGCAAGTACAATACCCAGATTGCAAGCAATCTAAACATCTTTATTAACGCAGTATACATCTAAGAGCCATTGACTGAGTGAATGACAACTACTGGTGAGTGAGAACTACGTAAAATAAAACAGCCCAGTTTCGCCTCAGTGAGACTCAGTGTTCTCTACTCTGGACACATATTTAAGAATTGGTCTCCAACAAACCTTAGAAGTTTAACTTTTTCAGCATGCAAATTTTCGAGAAGACTACAGATGGATCAAACAGGCAGTGGCCAAGATGCAACTAAACATAAATCGCAGTTGCATCCTTACAGCATTAAGGAAGCATGCTCCGAGTGATGTAATATTACGAAGCATAAAATTTGCTCACCAATCAGAAACACGCCCACCAGCCTCACGAGACCGAACTGCATCTGGTTGTAATTCTGAAAAGAAAAACAAGGTGTTAGTTGCACTGTCAATCTAAAAAAGCTCATAATGAGTCAAACAATTGTTCACTTCAAGACAAAAGAAAACTATAAAGATAAAATTGGCATCGCCTAAAAGAACAAACACTTAGAATAGCCAGGAAATAAATTTCCAAGATAACCGAGACCAAAGAACTTAACAGAACCTGGTGACATGACTGGAGACATCCCAACTAAAAAGTTATCTCACTAGGCTGATTGTCAATGCCGTATATACAACACAATTTGGTTGAAGTATTTGAAGGGATGATTACAGGCGGATTTCAACTGCCTGTGGGGCCTTTCCGATGCAAGCAAGCTGCCTGCACAGCGAACTATGACAGCACCGCTCGTAATTTTAGCAACATTGTTATTACACAGAAAAACACCTATTGATTGAGGAACCTTATGTTCTGGAACATATTTCAATAACAGCTAACCATTGGCACGACCTGCTTTTTTTTGTAGGCAAATCATAATGGAGCATTTGAATGATGCTAGCTTGACCCTGGGTTGTGTAGTGTCTTCTGTAAGGCAGAGGTGAGCTCGTGTCGAGCGAAATTCGTGAGCTGACTTTAAATACATTTGGTTAAAATACGTCCTTGTACATTTCATCTTCTTGAGTGGCAGCACCGTGATGTGTTGGTGCCTCTGCCTACTTCACTTCTATAGCGTGTGTTTCACAACGCCACACTTACATTCAATACACGGTAACGTATACGAACCTTCTAGTTTGGCAAAAGACATGGTGTTGAATGAATATGCTGTGACAGCAGATTGCAAACGCCGAAGTCACGACAAAAAATTTAGGTCAATTTCAATACTAAAACAGTATGCCTCATTGTTATGTAGGAATGTTGTGCGAGAAAAAAAAAAATGGGCAAAATAAAGTTTGCTTCACTGTTAGGCACTTTTGTCACGCGGCAAAGCGTACATATTAAATCTGCTCGCGATTTTTATTAGGTTGGTTGCACGACATGAAACTACACTTAAAGACTTGCTTTGATCTAAAATGCTCCGTACTGTAGAAAAAAAAGGCAAAACTACCGAACATGCGTTTGATATTCAATGGAGCGTGCCTTAATAGTGTTTGATGTGCCGGAGAGAGCTATTTCTTAGTCAGAAAACCTACGGTATGAAAGCCAGGGACGTAGGCAGAAATTTTGCTGGCCACGTCTTTAAAGAGAATGGAAGGTAGAAGAAAGGCAGAGGTGCGACCTTTTTTAACTTATTTTCATGTGTGTGTATATGTGAGCGCGTATATGTACACAACAAATGTAAAAGTTTCCAGGAATACTAGAACCCCCCCCCCCCCCTCCTCTCAAACCAGTATGCCACTGATGAAAGTAATATCCAATTTACGAGCAGTGGCGTCAAATAGGCTGCCATGCTAGATTATTAGCACAACTACAATCATATCTAGTGTAACCTTTGTAATCTGCATGTAACTATATCAATCGTAATTGTGTGAAAGAGAAAAAGTCTGACTGAAAGGACACAAACTCATTATGACTACGAAAATGTCGCAAGCGTTAAATCTGTGAAAATATGTGCCCCAAGTCACGAAGTCCACAGGCTGCAATATAAGCCTATGTTGCTACAAAACTATTCTTAGCTCATGGATGGCTCGGTGAGTTAATGTGAAGCTCATTACAAACTACCGACAATTTAGACACAATGTTAGCAATATGCCAAAGCGTTCCTTTCGGCTGCAAAGCATCCACAGCAACAGCACAGGGGCGATGTTGAGCAACCTGCAAATCATTTTCCATTCTCTGAATTGTTATTATTGGGCTGTACTCTTATTGTTTTTACTGGGTGCATTGTTCATACTGGCCTATTCCCATCACTTTGTACATAGTTGTGGTACCCGTCGAGCCTGCAAAGAAGCTTTTTGACCCAGGTTCGTTCTTTGCGGGCTCGGGCCGGCACACAACTTGGAAGCATATCGGAAGCAGGTGTAGCGTTCACAGTGAGAAGCAAGCTGGATTGATTGAGCCCTAAAGTTGATAAACTGAAGTGTTTATCCTGCAAAACATCGAACACCTAACGAGTTTGTGGAGTATGTTTTCAAAGTTGTGTATATGAGCCCAATTTCTTGAGCAAAGGTTTACACAAGTCAGTCTCATAGGTGTGTTTTATGGAACACCATGCATCCTTGAACTGATGAAATCTTCATTATGGTCACTAATTAGGTAAATTGGTACGAAGCCTTGGTAACAGTATACCTTCTGCATCAAAAGAAAGCAGAAGGAAGAGATAGGGACAGGAAGAATGCATCTCTCCTGTCCCTGTCTCCTTTTCTTGTCTCGGTTCCTTCTGCTTTCGCTTGGTGCCACCGGTGTTCCCTTACCAAGATAAAGCTTTCAAAGTTTTCAACCCACAAATGCTACCCAAATGTGACAGAACAGAACTCACCAATAGCACGTTGGCTAGGTGTGCCGCTAGCAACGCGTAGACACCACCCGAGGCGCCGACGAGGTACACATCTGTGTCGAACACTGACGTGCCTAGAGAACCTGCACAGAGGAGAAAAGGAGATTAGGAATTAATACGGATCATTGACAAAGTTACGTGTAATGCGTATTCAAAGACTACTGAATTCATACATTTACTCCATCACTAAGTAAGCTTTATCAAGTCAACATAATAAAATCAACACAGAATACTTGTACCTTGTAGCTGATACTATACACAGCAAAGGGAAGGTGCAATTAGTTAATTAGCTTAAATGTGGATAAGTAAAATAAACTAAAAAGCAAGGTAACGCATCTGTGTATGCAACAAAATCAATCAATCAAACAATAAATTAATTAACTTTATTACTTCAGGATAACAATTCCATCACAATAAGCTGCCCAAGCAGGATATGCTGAAGCAGTACAAAAAGAAAGCCAATCTACATGTTCTTCAAAGGAACAAACTTGACCGAATTTGAATATAAAAGTGTTCTACATATAAATAAAATAAGAATTTGGATACACAAAGAATGATTCATATACATTAGAACTGCAAATTGGTGGCTGAGCACCGAATTTGAAAGAAAGAAAGTACAACTGCGCTAAGCGTTTTTATGTAGTTCAATGTGCAATTAGTCATTTAAACAGAAGATATTACGGGATAACACAAGTAGTTTCACTTTTTTTTTTTTCATTGCAACAAATATATTAATACAAACCAGTCAAACGAGGCACAACTAGGGTTTTCGCTGCTAGGCAGCAAGGTTGTGCACCGAAGCGTGCATATTGGGCGGCAAGAAGCACCAAGTAGGAAAGCAAGCTTTACAGGCTTCCGTAGCCATGAGGTCTAGCGCGCACCCAGGCAGGCCGCCAGATGTCGCTACCTGCTTGAGTTAATCTTCAGATTTTTTTTTGCTCCGGTGAGCGGATAGGAGGTCGGACGTGTTTTTGGAGAGCTCCGGAATGACAGCTACAGATAAGTGTTTTTGCATGTTTCCAGCTTGCCTCTGTATGTAGCGTTATGAGAACGTAAGGCGCTAGCGTAAGGCTTGATTAGGTCTAGTACGGTGTACGGTTTTTTTTTATTAGTATTTTGTACTGTGTCTTTTTTTCTCCAGCCACCACGTGGCTGAAGCCTGCGCGTAGACCGACCACGTGCATGCGCAGGTGCTGTGAAGTGTAGCGTATTTATTTATTATTTTGGTTCTTTTTGGCTTAGACCAGTGTATTTTAGTACAGTTTTCTAACACGTGGGCATCGGTAAACTGAGCTAGCCATGGTCAAAAAGACCGTAAAGTGTTCCGAGTGCGGGGTAGGGCGGAAGGTGGAAATTAGTGCGGAGGAGAAAGCAGAAGATGACGCCAAGTGTAGACAGTGCGAGTTCGAGGAGAAAATGAAAAATATGATGGCGGTCCAGAGTGGGCTCATGGAGAAAATCGCAGCGCTGGAGAATGCATTGGCGAAGGAGCGAGAGAAAACGTCAGCCATGGAAGAAAGGCTCCGGGCAGCCGAGAAGGGCCTATCGAAGGTCGTGAAAGGGAACGAAGACGCAGGTGACGGCGGAAGCATTATGGCGACGACCCCCCGTGCGGGAGAGATGAAGGAAACAGGCATGACAAAGGCAGATACATTGGCTACAGGGCCCAGCTACCGGGAAGTAGTTTTGAGGGAGGGAGGGAGCAAACCAGCAGCCGTGACTCACGCTAGTCACCTAGTCAGCAGCCAGGTGCAGGTTTCAGAAGGAATGTCTGAACAGGTCATCATCGCCGGTGACTCAAATTTGGTCCGATGCGCAGCGGCAATCAAAGAAAGGGTGAAAGGCGACAAGAGAGTTGCGATAGGGACGTTCCCAGGACAAACGCTGGGGACAGTAATGAGTCAAGCGGGTGAACAACTCGCAGCTAAGGCTGGCAATCGTAACCTCGTTGTAATTGCGGGAGGGTTAAATGACGTCCTGAAAAAAGAATCGTCAGGACTAGCGACGGCCTTGGCGAGAGGGGTGGATGACATGCGCACCGTGTCCCCCCAGGTGCAAATTGTAGTATGCACAGTACCGGAAGTACCGGTGCGCAACGTCAACCTGCGAAGAGCGGTTGTCGACGCAAACAAGGAGATATGGCGGATTAGTCGAGAGAAGGGTTTCGAGGTAGTGGATTTAAACAGGGAAGTGCACAGGTGGGGTGGATTCCAAAGAGACAGGATTCATTTCGATAAGAGGCTTGGACACGAGGTGGGCTGGCGACTGGCAGGACGCGCAGTAGCTTTTTTGGGGGGCTCACGGGCCCTTCGGAGTCCGGGGTAGCTCGTAACAGGGAAAGCAACCAGGAGGACGCTTTGACAGGTAGAATTGCGAAAAACCAGAAAAAAGGTAAAAGAAAAAGGAAAAAGGCGCGTGTTGCAATTAGTTACATAAACATGCAGGGTGGCAGAAAGAAGGCAAAATGGTTAGAGATTGAGGAGCAGTTAAACAAAGAACAGATAGGCGTGTATGCGGTTACAGAAACACACCTTAGAGACTTGGAAGAGCCACCACATATTAAAAATTATGTTTGGGAAGGGTGTAACAGGACCATATCGGAAAGGAAAGGTGGGGGTGTAGGAATGCTAATTCACCGCGGAGCCAAATGGGTTAGAGTGAAACAGACGTGTTCAGAGCACCTCTGGGTTCGGGGCACAGTAGGTGGAAAGGAAACGTGGCTAGGGGTAGCCTACTTGTGGACGGGGAATAACTGCAGAGAAAAGAATCAGGAGATAGTGGATTGCATGAGTGCGGATATTAAGGAATTTGGTAATGGGGCCGAAATCATCCTTCTAGGGGACATGAATGCCCACATACATGACCTTGACGGATATTCAGACACCAATGGGAAGTTATTACTAGATCTTTGCGAGCAACATAGTCTGGAGATAGTTAACACGGGGCCTAAATGTGACGGCCAGATCACATGGGAAGTCGGAAACAAGCAATCAAGTATTGATTATTGTCTCATGACTGAAGGAATTTACCACAAACTGACAGAAATGAGGATAGACGAGGAAGGCATTAACAGCTTGGGTAGTGATCATAAACGAATAACATTACAAATGGGATACGAAACTGAAAATATGAGCATGGAATCAAAGTCTGGCAGCTCGTATTTAAATGACAAACAAATAATAAATATAGCCGCAAGAGTCGAGGAAGAAGTAGGCGAAATACCAGGCAAGGACTGGGAGTATAGTGAGCTGTTACATCTAATGACGAAGGAGATAGGGAAAGAGAAGAAACTGTTTGCTGGAAAGGAAAAAGGAAGCCAAAAAGTTGGTGGAACAAGGAAATCCGGGAGGCGATCGAGAAGCGACGCGAAGCCTCACGGGAGCATAGAAAGGCAAAAAAGGAGAAGCGGCCGCAGGACGAAGTCAAAAAAATATGGGAAATATATTTAGAGAAAAAATCCCTTGTACAGAAATTGGTAGAGGCAAAAATTAAAGGTGAAAGTGAACGCTGGATGACAGAGATACACGAAAAAAAGGAGGCCGCGCCTAGGATTTTTTGGAGCCACATAAAGGCGCTAGGTAGGAAGTCTGTCACAACGCAACAACATATTCTAGATGAAGGAGGAAATCATTTGGAAGGGTACGAAGCGCTAGGTTATATCCAAAAGGTAACAGCCGATTCGTTTCAAAAGAGCGTCCAGGGGATCTCCCCGCTGAGTAAAAGTGTGGCGGAGAAAGCAACAGAGGAAGAGCTAGTACTTGATAATTTCAACTGGAAAAAGGCCGAAGGAAAAATTCCAAAGCGCACTGCCGCGGGTTTAGATGGGATTCCCGTTAGCCTCATTAACGAACTAGGACATAACACTAAAGAAGCATTGTTAAAAGCAGTAGAAAAAAGCTTAAAGGACGGACAAATACCGGACAGTTGGCGACAAAGTAGAATGAACTTAATCTATAAAGGCAAGGGAGAAAAGGACAAGATTCGCTCGTATAGACCACTAACCATTACATCGGTACTATACAGGATGGCGATGCAAGCAGTAAAAATGAAAATAGAAACATGGGCCGAACATAACGATATTTTGGGAGAACTTCAGAACGGATTTCGAGTCGACAGGCGGTTAGACGATAACCTGTTTGTTCTCACTCAGTGTATAGAAATATCCAAAATAGAGAATAGGCCCTTGTACGTGGCTTTTCTAGACATCACTGGGGCATACGACAACGTTAATCAGGAAATTTTGTGGGATATATTGAAAGGAATGGGCATGGGCGACGACTGTATACAGCTTTTGAGGGAGATATACCGAGAAAATACAGTTTGCATAGAGTGGGAAGGAATGCGTAGCAAAGAGAACGTTGAGGTTAGCAGGGGTCTGAGACAGGGATGTCCTTTGTCCCCGCTGTTATTCATGCTGTACATGGTGAGTATGGAAAAAGCGCTAGAAGGTAGCAACATTGGTTTTAATCTGTCACACAAACAGGGCGGCATGATGATTGAGCAGAAGCTTCCAGGTTTATTTTATGCGGACGATATCGTCTTATTTGCGGACAGTCGAGATGATATACAGCAGCTGGCGAATATATGCGGAAGGGAAGGTGAAGCTCTTGGACTAGGATTCAGTGTAACGAAGTGTGGATTGATGGTATTCAATGATCCCTGTGATCAGACGGTGTCCATACAAGGCCAAGAAATACCGAGGGTAAGTGAATACAAGTACCTTGGAGTATGGGTAAATGAGAGTGATAGATACATGGAGGTACAGGAAAAAGCCTCGGCAGCAAAAGGAAAGAGGAATGCGGCAATAATGAAGCACAGAGCGTTGTGGGGATACAATAGGTATGAGGTGCTTCGAGGTCTGTGGAAGGGTGTAATGGTTCCAGGGCTTACTTTTGGGAACTCAGTGGTGTGCATGAGGGCAGAGGTGCAATCGGGAATGGATGTAAATCAAAGGACTGTGGGACGCCTCGCGTTGGGTGCTCACGGGAAGACGACAAACGAGGCTGTAAAGGGCGATATGGGGTGGGCAGGTTTTGAGGCGAGGGAAGCGCAGAGCAAAATAAGGTTCGAAGAAAGGCTAAGAAATATGAAGGAGAGTAGATGGGCAGAGAAGGTGTTCCGTTATTTGTATAGGAAGAGCGTGGACACACAGTGGAGAAAAAGAACTAGAAGACTCACTAGTAAGTATACGGCTGGTATTGTAAGCCGTATGTCAACAAAGAGCGTTAAGGGAAAAGTCAGGGAGGCGGAGAGGATTTACTGGATGGCAGCTATGGAGAAAAAACCGGCTTTGAGTAACTACCGAAAGGGCAAAAATGAAATAAGGAGGGAGGCATTTTACGATAATTCAAGGGGAAGCGCTTTGCTGTTTGAAGCGAGATCGGGTTGCCTTAGAACGCGTAGTTATAAAGCAAGATTCAGTAAAGAAGAAGAACAATGCACATGCTGCGGGAAAGATAAGGAAACGGCGGAGCATGTTCTGATTGAATGTGGAGATATCCACCCAGGTGTACGTTTGGGCACGAGCCTACAGGAAGCCTTGGGTTTTAGGGACAACAATGGAAAGCTGAACACACCCGCGATTGAAATAAGTAAGAGACGGTTAGAGTATTGGTGGCAGAAAATTAGAGAGAAAGGACAAAAATAAATATTGGAAAAATAAAATATGGACAGTGTGCCGTAAATGGCAGAGAACTTAAGCTGAAAATTTACCTTTTTTTTCCATTAAGATAGAATTTATCGAAGTAGAGGCATTAGGCCAACATAAAAAGAAAAAAAGGTTTTTTTTTTTTTTTTGTCAAGCCTGGTGGCATACTTGTCACCACCCCGTTATAAAGGGGACGCTCATAGCATCCAATCTCTTCGCTACGCACTGCTTCGTCGGCGGTTTCTTCGCGCGGGACGACAGCTGCGAGGCGCCGTGTCAAACGAGGCGAACAAGGTCGTTGCCTTGGCGTTAAACAAAAAAAAAAAAAAGTCAACGAAAACAAATAAGAGTGGCGGAACGTGAAGAACAACGGAAAGTTGGCCTTGCTAGCACGAATTCATATCGCACGGAGCAGGAAAAAAAAAAGTTATCAGGCGTGAATTCGAACACGAGAGGAATGATAAACGCCGAATCGTCCACGCTGTTTGTATTTCTGCGTGAGTCCACGTGGCTGCCAAATGTTGAGGTGAAACAAGGAGACCGTTGAGTCAGCACGAGTGATCCAAAAAGAGTCATTACGACGTCATCACGACGTCACGTAGCGTGATATTGACGTCACATGACTCTGTCAATGGTGAACCAGGCCCCCAGAGGCACTGCAGAACCACGGCCGCTGGATGAAAGAGCGCAGGGTCTTTCATCCAGCGGCCGTGGCAGAACCATGCGAGGTGCAGAAAGATGTCGAAAAGCGGGAGGGGGGAAGGAGGAGCATAAATAATATATACACTGAGAAGAAGAACGCGGCTCGCCTGCAAGTCATCTTGGGAGAATGCAAATCACCTCTGCGACTTCTGGGCTTCCCAGAGATAGTATTGAGTAGCGCGCGCTTCGCTTTTGTGAAGATAAAATCCTAGTGTCGTTCTTCCTCGTCTTGTGCGTTCTGGTCAAGAGCTCCTTCGCCAGTTTCTTACGCAATGTAAGCCTGTAACTGAATTATGAAGCGAAATGGCGTTTGCGTTATCTGTTTGCCTTCGGTTGCGTATATCCCTGGGCGCCGCCATAGCCCTCCTTGGTCTGTGCAAATTGGCGCGTCCCCTCGAAAATGCACTGGCAACGCTGCGCCCTTAGCCTTTGTACTCCCGCGCACAGCCCATCATGGCGGTGTTTTTTTTTTTTCCTTCCTGTGAAAAGATGTATACTGGGTCCCGACGCCTTGCTGTCTCGCTCGTGTTTCACGGATTGCGCATAGGAAAGAGGGCGCTAGCGGCGCGCGACCGACGCCACCTAGAACAGGTGTTGGCACGACGGACGCCTTTGAGGGTGAGGGGTAAAACGTCAGGTGAACGAAAGGTGCGATTAACAATTAACTGCAAGGAAAGAAACTCGAATGTTAAAGAGAGACCGAGAGTCGTATAACAAAAAAAAAAAAAAAGAAAAAGATAGAGATAAAAAACAAAAAACAAAGACTGACCTGCGAGCACACCGGCCATGTAGACGGTGCCGATGCGCAGGGATCCGTGTACCATCTCCAGGGGGAGGCCCACCAACATCTGGACGAGCAGGTTGAACAGCAGGTGGATCCACCTGTCGTCGTAAAAGAAGGAAAGAAGGTCAACAGAGATCAATGGCCTGTTTAAAAATGACTCCGCCCAGTTTACTACTGTGTCAGTAGATTCACTGTCTATTTTCTTTTTCTTCAGCTAGTGTATTCTTGCAAGGCGCAAGATAGCTACCTATTTATTTCTGTATTTATTTATCACAATACTAATGCTCTGAATTTTATACCTTAGGCAGGAGTGGATTACAACTCGGAACAAAACGTCAGGCAGGCCCTCCTGTCGAAGTACATGGAAATATTGTAAGCTTACAACAAATATATATATATATATATATATATATATATATATATATATATATATATATATATATATATATATATGTTGTAAGGTATCAATATTTGCATGCACTTCGGATATACTTCCATAAAAATTTCCCCGGTACATGAATGTTATTGTGACATGGTCATGACGTGACGAACTTCTGCGATCTGTAATGTCATTACGGCGTTACACGATGGATTTATCAGTGGCGTGAATCACGTGGGTTTTCGTACAACTTCTTTCGCCAGCCGTGTTTCGCTCAACGAAACATAAAATCAAGGATTGCGCCTTTAGAAGAAAAAAAAAATGATTTGCCGAACTATAGGCTAGGGGCTGCGCATGATGCACTGTCCATCGAAGACCGAGCAATAACCGGGGGCTTCCTTGGCGTGCAACATAAAAAACCGGATACAACGAGAGACTCACCCTGCGTGCAGTACCATGTAGAAGACGAATCGCCATACTTGTAGCCGCTTGTCGGGCCGGTAGATGAAGAAACTGTCGATGGGCACCGGACCCGTCGGAGTGACGGCGCCCGTGATCACCGTGTAATAGGTGAAGAAGCCAAGCTGCAAGGACAAGAAGGAAGCGTTCGCTCATCTCAACTGCATGGAACTGTGACGGGCTCGAGTATCGCGTCAACACAAGTGCACACAGCGGTCGCTTAATGCTTTGAGAGCTGCTCATACAGCGTGTGCTGTACGGTACAACTAGTCCTGCACGCGGTACACGATCGATCGATCTCAGTATCATTCAGTTCGTACTGTACCTCCCCTATACATTGCATAGTAATCATTTCTAACTGCAGTTGCAGCGCCTCCTGCGGTGTTATTTTATATTATAAACATAATTGTAGGGTTCTAACTCTCCAAAAGCGCGATATGATTATGTGGGACGGCGCAGTGGAGGGCTCCGCATATTTCCACCACCCGGGGTTCTTTGACGCACGGCTAAATCTAAGCACGTGGGCTACTAGCCCTTGGATTATATTCGAATACGGTCACCGTGGCTGGAATTCGATCCGTCGACATCGGTCAGCAGTGGAACACAGCAATCTCACAAAACCACCGTGTTCCTCGTCGAAGATGACATTCACACGAGTTTCGGCCATATGTCGTAAGAAAATCGTCACGCTGAAATGCTGCGGTAAAGACTTGAGTTGCAATGCTTCGAGCCAGTGGCGTAGCTAGGCGTGGCACATCATAGCCGTGTACGTTATCACGCCCCCCCCCCCCCCCCCATCTCCTCACTCCGAATTTATGCCTTGGGATAGAGAGCGCAAAATGACACTCGAGCACTGATGTCGGATCGTGGCGAAGCTGACATTTTATTTATTTATTTATTGGGCTGTAACCACGTTATAGCAGGAAAACTTCAGAGCTCCAGTGGCGTCCTTTTTTTTTTTGTCCAAACTGGCGTGCACCGACGGAAACACCGTTAAAGAGAAAGAAAGAAAGAAAGAAAGAAAGAAAGGAAGAAAGAAAGAAAGAAAGAAAGAAAGAAAGAAAGAAAGAAAGAAAGAAAGAAAGAAAGAAAGAAAGAAAGAAAGAAAGAAAGAAAGAAGGGAGAAGGAAGGCAGAGCAATGATTTGCGGCCAATCGGAGGTCACCGGCGCATGCCTCCGTCCGAGACGCGTGGACGAAGACGGCGAAAGAGGGAGAGGGTGTTTCTCTCGTCCCGCACACCGTCTAGGACACGGAGGAAGGAAGGGACGAACGACGCCGAAGAAGAAGAGCGATAGACTTCGCGCCGGTAGTCACGCCCGGCGAAGCGCGCGCCACCTGGCATCCGCGTGGCACGCACGCGCTACGCACCGCTAATGACCCTAATGAGAGTGCGCTCGCGTTTGTTGCGGATCGGAGGAGGGTCTCGTCTTGGCTCTGTACGTGTATACAGCCTAGATGCACGCTAGAGAAACTACAGCGTGTGCGCCCTTCCACCAGCTCCCTCATTTCAAGAAAGGAGAAAAAAAAAAGACAGAAAGAAAGAAGGAAAGACAGAAAGGAAAAGGACCGAAAGCACTGCCGGACATCACCGAGCCACTGCTGTCGAATTCCCTCAAGCACGGCACACGCCCCCCCCCCCCCCTAGCGAAGCAGCAACTATCACTCTATATATAGGCGATGTGTTGCTAAATAAATGGATTAAAAAAATATGTATGCACACTTGAGGAGGTCGCCGGGCACATTGTGTGGGAGAGGAGGACGGTGGAAAGGGAAAATAAGGTGCGTGACCTCTTAAAAAGAGACCTTGTCGACTTGCGCAAGCTGTCGCTTGTTGTATGGCTACAGCTCACGAATTTACACACGCACTCTAGACGCGCCAACGAATGCCGTGATGAGAAAAACACCAGTAGCGCATGGAGGAGAATAGAGGGCAGTTTCGAACTCTCTTTTTCTAACAAAGCAGAATGCAATGTGCCAAACGGAAACGTTCTAAATATTTTGACGGCCAACTAGATAAGATTACGTTAAAAAAATAAGTAAGGTAGCGCTAATCGAAAGACCCGAATTTTTCCCTACACGTATAGTTCCCTCCAAACGGTTATACAGTCAACATAACTAAACAACTACCGAGCACATATCGGTAAAACAATGTCATTGAAATTGTTAACTGCACATATGTTCACTAGTGGCCTAGCCTTAATTTGGAAGGCGAAGGGGGGCAGAGGACAATGCTTCTTCTTTCAAGTTCCTGTGCTTGCATGTATGCGCGAATACATACACATACAAAATATTAAAAAATAAAGGTGAGGTTCAGGTTCCAAGTTTCCCAAACCTACCCCCTGGCTACACCGACTGAACTTCGCTCACAAGCATTGCGTTCCGGCCTCTCCATGGCATCAGCCATAACAGATGACAGAAACCAATCTACATGTTCACTTTAACAATGTACCGGACTGTACATTCTTTATCAGTCCACGTGCAGACCCCAACAGCGGGCGTCGAACGCAGACGGAGCGCGCTTTCGTGAACGTGCGGGCTTTTGTATAAACGTTGTTACCCAGCTGTACGTTAAAGTGAACGCAGCCCGTACGGCTTGTGCGTGAATAATTCGCATTTCGTCCGCACCGGGGTGTTACAGGAAAAGCGAAAGGGGGTGGCGGTGGAAGGACATTCCTGTCCGGCATTCGAAGCGTTCCAACGTTGCGGTGGGTCCTGCGGCCGCGCGTTTCCGCTCGGTTGAACGCTCGCCACGCGCGCGCATGCGTCATGCAGCGGCAGTTCCGAGAAACACGACGCCGCCCTCCGGTACACGTATAGTGCGCTACTTGTACGCTACGCAACATCCGGGCCCTTCATACCCAACACACCTCCATTCCGACGAGTGAAGGAGATCGCCTTTGATACACCGCAGTTAAGAAAGAGCACGCGTACAAGCCGATGTACAGACGGATACACCCTTAAAGGGAACACTTGCGTGCAGTGCGTGTCGCTAACCTGCAAGAGCGCATTTGCTCAGATTTGTATAGGACTAGTAGCTGTTGGACATTTCGGCTCCTTTCGACAGTCTCGTTCGGTCCACCAAAGACACAGTACTCCGATCAGCGTTATGATGCATTATACCGGATACTGTAGCCATAAACATGAGAGGTCTAAAGAGCCTTCTTGTGCGCACCGAAACGGAGGCGGCGCGCACATAGAAGGCTCGTTAGAGAGGCCGTACAGGTGGCGCCATCTGGCGGAACCGAGACAAACCAGGCAAGAACAGTAATGTTAATGCAAAAAAAAAACTAGAACGTTCGTTGAACTTCTCAGCAGCTGCGAATTCGCGATAGCGGCCTTGCACAGAATCGGCTGTATTTTAAACTTCTCTTTCCCCTCAGGGACGCTATAGACGAAAGCAAACAGACGTGCCTATACAGTTGTGGTTGCACAAAGCGTCGTAAGTCATCGATGTCATCGCCCGGTAACGCGATGTTCTGTAAACCTCTTTGAGTATAGCGGAATATTGAACAAGTTAAGAAAATATGTAATGTTCGCGCCTCCGCTTGCAGGAATAGGGAGCCAGCAACATGAAAGATTCAGATTGGAGTGTTCCCTTCAGCTTGTGCTTATTGCACCTGACTATACTGAACTTTGACTGGCTAACATGACTTTACTGTACATGACTAATTAACATGACTTAACCCTACTTTAATTACCATGATTTTGCTAATTAGGATGACTTTATTGTACTTTAAAGTCGCTGAGCTCCACTGAGCACGATTTTGCTGATTGATTTGATTTTACCGTACTTTAACATAACTGAAATTTGCATTAACGAACATGATTTCACTGATTAAGACTACTTTACTGTACTTTAGCATGACCGTAACGCACTTTTACTTTATCGTACCGTACACACTCCCGGCCCAGCTGACACGAATCGCGCAGCTTTGGCCGCACTGCACGCAATATTTTTTGAGAAGTGGAGCAAGTTCTTCAGAAAAACGTCAAGTTCCCGAGTCTGCCGTATGCTTATAATTCAATGAAAACTCGAGGAAATTCTCGCCTACTAAAGGCTGCTCGATGCGCTTCCTGTACGCGAGCGAGTCGGAGCGTGCGCGCGGACGTACATTTTTTATTGGAGCGTGAAAAAAACAAGCAACGACGGCAGAGGACGAAGTGAAGTTTTTTCGTATGGGGCGAAGCCGACGGACTCGCATAAAGGAAGCCGCCTCGCATTAAGATGCAACCGGCAACGCTTACTTAATACAGTATCTTCTTTTTCTAAAGAATTCTTGGGACGCGTGGTGTTTCAGGTGTGCAAACAAAAGTGAAAAAAATCACGTAGTTCTAAAGCTTCCTATTTAAATTTGCCCGTCTCGCATATATGGTAGTATCAATTATCATAAATGTAACACATAGGTATTTGAGAATATACTTACATATAAATACGATAACTGATATAAGTATGATAACTGTATGACACGATAACTGCATAAGTTTGTGAGTATAAGTTAAGAATGTGTGTAGGTGGCGTAAAACTGGACTTGTTTTCTTCAAGGCGGCCCAGCGGACAGTTGGCCCGTCGGAAAGTTGACTCCGGTGACAACCGGTGTTTAACAAAAAATTTTGGACTCTTCGAGGTATAAGCACACATTTCGTAGGATGTATATAGAACACGTCTCGTGGTAAACTCGTTTTTTTCAAGAAATAGCACCAAAAAGAATTTTTACGAGATATCTTTCCGTATACCAATGTAAGTCGTACATTTCATCAGTAAGATTGAGCTACTGTGGCTCTACTTAGACATTATGGTTAGGGCTAAGGTATATCGACAGACAGACAGACAGACAGACAGACAGACAGACAGACAGACAGATAGATAGATAGATAGATAGATAGATAGATAGATAGATAGATAGATAGATAGATAGATAGATAGATAGATAGATAGATAGATAGATAGATGGATGGATGGATGGATGGATGGATGGATGGATGGATGGATGGATGGATGGATGGACGGACGGACGGACGGACGGACGGACAGACGGACAGACAGACAGACAGACAGACAGACAGACAGACAGACAGACAGACAGACAGACAGACAGACCTACGATCTTCTCCCTCTTCTGTGA